CACGTGCACAATATTGGGATGAGGCATCTTCGGGATTTGCACGGATGATAACTCGAAGGGGAGTATGTGCGGCTGTACTCTTTTTTCCTTGTCTCGGTTTTTTCCCACAGGGTTTTTCCAGATAAGGTTTTTAACGAGGCAGCATAAAACGCACATTTAATAGTGGTAATTCCAAGGGGGAGTGTTGTGTAAAAGTGGAATTAACCACTACACCTTATCATTCATATTATTATTATTATCATTATGTATTGAAAGGTGTGCCACTCACCTATAAAAAGGGGCCAAATCAATGTAATGTTAGTACTGAGAAAAACAAAAAATTGAAGAAAGAAAGCACATTATAATCGTTCCGGTTTTTATACATTGTGTTCTTTATATTGCTCGCATTTCATAACATCAACCAGTTATTGACTGGACAATCACAAAGGAACAAAAACATGTACAGAGTACACTGTTTTTTTTTTTTTTTTTTTTTTTATTTTTTCTTAATTTTGTGATGAGAGAGAAATAAGGCAATCAAGACATTTTAATTTTTAAATAATGAAAAGCAGCGTTTTATAATTCAGCTGATAGGCCCCAAAAAGCTATCTGTATCCGCTACTTGGCAAACATTTTTTTCAGCTGGTTCAAATGGTCAAACAGCTAAATTGTTGAAAAAGCTCTTTTTAGAGCAAAAAGCTGTTTAACAAACACAACAGCTTGTAAAAATAAACCACACATTGTTAATATTTGTGTTGAAAATATTCTGGTACAAGTAAAAACACTCTTTTTTAAAAGATAGTTTTATTTTTCAAACGAAACAAATATTTGGGAAAAATTACATGTACAATTTTGCGAAAACTAATCTTCTATTACTATATAATTAGGCAACCCACTTACTAAAAATAGTAAGTTATTTTAGTGGGTCACTCATTATATTACTATTTATGAAAAGTTAGTTCCACTTTTTTATTATTTTATTAAACGTGCTTCAACCTCCATTAATTTTTTTTTTAATAATAGGTTAATAGTAAAAGTTGACCTAAATTTGTTATTACTATTTGTAGATAGACATTTTAAAATGTTTTTTCTGTTTTGATTTCTCATTAATATAAAAGTAAATTTCTTTTTACATGTACATGATATGTTGAATCACGGTGAATTATTTATAATGTATGTTAAATATAATTTATATTTAAATCCTTCCTAAAAATATGAAGATACTAGATAATAATATGGTACTTATTTAAATAAAAGAATGGTTCACAAATAAATAAATTGTAAGTATATGTATAGAAAATAATAGTTAATAAATAAGATTACATTGTAAATTATAAAACCATACAAGTAAGAAATAATATGTTCAAGTGTCAAAATACGATCTAAATTACATGATAAATTCAAACAAGTTGTAATAAAATGTGGTAAGATAATAAAATAATTTGAGAATTTTCTTATATCCCAACTATATATATTTCCGCATTTAGTACATGATGTTCCAATTAAATCAGTTTAGTTATTCAACTTTTCGTTTATCAATAAATTTTGGTCCACGTCATTAGATTTCATAAAAAAAATAACAGTTTTAGAAAAAAATTCGTTAAATTCATGGAAAACTATATAAAAAAAATCGTTAATACTATGTCAATTTGTTCTATAAATAAAAAAAAAAAAACTAAAGAATATATACATAGGAATCTACTTTTAGGCTTTTAATTATAAAGTTTACATTGTTGCTTCTCGAGTTACAAATAAAAAGACACAAGATACTGATATATCATGAGAAATAAAATATACAAATATAAACATTGTTTATAGTACTTTATTTTAATTGCATATAAAAATTATTTATTCTATTTATATTTCCTTATTTTATTTATTTTTAATAGTTCCGTGCATTTTGCACGGGCCACGATACTAGTTGCATTTAAGGGAAATACTAAATCCCGTTATGGTTTCTGTCGAGATTTGTAACCGTTAAATCATCATGTAACTCCGTGACGATAAACTTGAGGTAGTTGACACATAAAAAATTAGAATAATAATTTTTTTTTCATTTTTTTTCCCCGGGAAGTACAACATGTTTGTTGATATGAACCAAAAGAATGGGGAGCACTCCTCCTCAAACCTCGAATCTTCTTCTTCTTCACAGCTGCTTTTAAATACTCTTTTCTCTCCACAAACACACACACACACACACACAAAAACACATTTGATTGGTTAAAGAAACAAATTACAGATAATAGGTCACGGGCAGTAGCTAAGTCAACAACAATGAGCAATTTTATATTTTTCTCCTCAAAATCAAATTTTGCGTTATATATATAGATAGAGATGTATAAAGAGAGAAAATTGTGCATTTTCTCTATGTGGGCTTTAATGGGTGTTCGTGGAGAGAGAGAACGAATAATGGGTAGCCATTGATTTTTGTTCTCTCGTGCAAAGCCACAAGCTTTTTGCGAGTTTATTACGGGCTAAAGAAGGGCTCTCACCAGCCATTCTTTCTCAAACACCGGTAAAGCAATTTTCAAACACCCTTTCTCGTTCTTGATTTTCTCTATTATGTGTGCATTTCTATATCCCACTTTCTCTCTCACATTCTCCTGCCAAGAAATCTGAAAAAAGCTCCAGCTTTTATTTATGTAATGATTTGTTAATTTGTTGTGTATTGTTTTTTTAACCTTTTTTCTGTTTTGGGTTCTGTTTTTTGGGGTTTGTTATAGTAATTTATTGATTGCCCGGATGAGAATGTAGATTGTTTGTGTTTATGATTTGGTGAAGTTTTCTGTATTTGTGCAGTTGTTGAGTTATTATGTTCATGATTTGTGCAATGTTGATATTTGTTATTGATTATTGAGGCTTGTGATCATGTTTATGGTTAAGTTTTGTGTTCTCTTAATGGAATTATGTTGTTATTGTCATCATGGGCTTTGATTATGTTCCAATCGTTAATGTCCGTTGCTATGTTTGGATTTTTGAAATTCTGCATTCTGGTTTCTTGTTAATGCTCAGGAGAAAAATTGATGTATGTATGTATATGTGTGTGTGTGTGTGTTGTATTCAATGATTTCCACAATTTTTTACATTATTACGACTTTGATATTTCACATAAACCAGTTCTAAGATAATCCGACGCTATTATCTAACATTTGCAGGCAAACGCAATCATGTCAGGACCTCTAGAACACGCATCTATGCCAAGTAAGCACATACATCATTTCTATTTTTATTTTATTCTTGTACAAATTTTTATTTTTTCTTTTCATTTGGCTTTGGTGTTCTATATCGTTATCAACATCAAATAAAAAATATATATATATATATTTTTTGGGGGTTATAATGGCTATAGATCTAGAGAAGATTGAAATGGAAGGTCTAGACGAAGATAGGAAGAAAAGGCTGGCTTCTCTCAAGAAGGCGGCCATTAATGCCTCTAGCAAGTTCAGAAACTCTTTGAACAAGCGGGGAAGGAGGAGCAGCCGAGTCATGTCGGTTGTTCTTGAGGACGAGCACGATGCCGAGGAGCTTCAAGCGGTCGATGCCTTTCGCCAGGTCCTCATCCTTGAGGAGCTTCTCCCCGCCAAACACGACGATTATCATATGTTGCTCAGGTAATAAAAAAAATAAAAAAACAAAGAGAGAG